TTCTTAAGTTCAGTTCTAGTCCAGAGAGTATACACAAGAGCAGGCTCACCTCTCCCAGTAACAGGTTTCTCCTTAAAGGAAGACACTATAACTTTAGGACTTTCAGTATCTGCTCTCTGAGAGTTACTCCTTGTTTTCTCTGGGGAGGATGTGGTGGGGAAGGAGGAAGAGGAGGTGAGGGAGGAGGAGGAGGAGGAGGAGGTAGAGTGGATAGGTCAGGGTACGGAAGCTCAGAAAGGAAAGGATACAAGGGTGCTGAGGGAGAAGAAGGAGATGAGCTCTGCGGTGCCAAAAGTGGCAGTGGAGGAGGTAGAGGAGATGAGGGAGGTGGGACAGCTTCTGAGTTCTTATCTCTCTTTAAATCAGAAATAGTCTCTGTCAATTTATTGTTAGTCTCCTGTAAAGAAGTCATTTTATCATTATTACATTTTGAAGCCTCTAAATGCCAACCGTAATAAGCTTCCCATTCTTTTGTTTTAGGTTTATAGCTGGCTTTTTCAACCTGTGTGTGCAAATACAGCAGTTTTGGGAGGTCAAACATTCCCCATTTTAGCCATTTACGACTTAAGTCATCCTTAGTTAATCTTTCCCATTTAGTTAAATACTTGCAAGCATCGTTTCCATATGCATTACGCATGAAACCCGCTGGAGTCCTAGTGGGAGGTTGTCCCTCCAGGAGCTGGCCAGCTTTTGAAGCACAGTTTCCCATTTTCTTTTAGTTTTGTTTGTTCATTTGTTTTTTATAAAGTCTGAACAACTTCTAGGAACTGATTAGTGGGTCACAAGTGTGCTGCTTTGAGTGTTACTCCCTAAAGGAAGGTCGTAATCACTCTCTTACGTGTCTCGGTTTCTCCTGCTGCCAGTCTAAGACCACTGTGGGGGTTCGGAGTGTGATGACCAACCCTCATGTGCATGTCCCTGGATGAACCTATAATTAATTAACATGAATGATAGTGGAGTTCCCTATAGGACTGCTGCACGTCATGAGGATTGCCTCTGACACTCCTGCTGAGGTGTTTTTCAGTCACTTGAAAAATGCCTTTTTGGCCAGGAAGAGCAATGTCCCTTTTCTTCAGAGCTGAACAAGTTCAGACACCCATTTCTCTATCAAGCAGTTCTTTTCAGACCTTATAAACATAATTCTTTCCAATTTCAAATCCAAATTAAAAGGGCAACCAACCCAGTTCACTCCAAGCTTCCCGTAAGCTCCCTTGGCCTAGGAAATTCCCCCTAGGTTTTTCTCCACCTAGGAAATGTACTAGTACCCTTCAAAGCCTCTAGTCTTAAGACCTTAAAACAGCGCAAATAAACTCTTGGACCATCAACTTAAAATAAGGAGGTCCAGGTTTCAGGAGAACTCACCCAGGGTCACCTGAAGAATGCAGTGATCCGGGTGGGGCTCAAATGGCCCCTGTGGTACCAAGTGCCAGTTCAGTGAAGATTCTAGGTGGTCTCTAGTGGGTTTCTCTGAAATCCTGCTGCAACTATGCCAAGAAATGTCGACGCAAATAATCCATAACCAATCTATAAATCAAAATTGGGGTGAGTTTATTATGAGCCAACTTTTGAGGAACATATAGCCTGGAATAGTCCTTTCACCAAGAAATGGAGCACTCCAAAGAAGTGGGGTGTACAGAGTGGTTATATACCATCAAAGAGCATGTATCACATATGATTGCAATGTCCCTTTTACAATAGCCACGACATTGCCCTGACGGCATGGTGATTGAGGGACACAGTGGGTATCAGGTCTGCTGTCTCCATGTGTGTGGCTGTTGTCTCGAGTTGGGTGGTCACAGGATGAGCACAACAATAAAATCCTAGCCTAGGGAGAAATGCTTATCCTTAAGGAAATGCCAATGTGGGGGAAGTTGCATTTACATCTCAAGGGCATTGTTCTTGTCTTTGGGACATGTTAATTGCTTAAAGTGGATATACAATGAATGAACAGAGGCTACAGGCCCCTTTTGGGGCAAAAAAAAAAACAAAGTCAGGCCGAATGAGTTTTACATCAAATGGCTTCCTCATATGGTCCAATATATCCTATTGCTTGCAATTTATTTATCAAGCTGAAGATGGTATCTAAGGTGGCGACCTCAGTCATTCTGGTGAGTTGCTCAGTTTTTCTGGGTTTCTCCCATGTATACATATTGTAAAGCTTTGTTTGATTTTCTGCTGTCATTATGTCTCATGCCAATTTAATTCGTAGCCCAGCCAGAAGGACCTAGAGGGTAGAAGGCTTGTCTTCCTCCCCTACGCTACTAACATGCTTTGAAGATAAATCCTGGTTATAAACTGAACATTCTGACTATGGGACAGGAAAAATAATTTTCCCTCTATCCTTCTAGGTTCTTGGCTGAGACCACGCCTGTAATAAAAAACAGAATAACAAGATTAAAAGAAATAGAAGTTTAATAATATGTATATCTCCTGTATACATGGGATATACCCAGAAAAACTGAGTAAAACTCACCCAAATGACCCAAACTACCACCTTAAATACCATCTCCTGCTAAAGACAAAAGAAAGATGGTGGGGGTGGGATACCAGTTATGGCAGATGACCAGGAAAAGCACAGCAAACAAGGATAAGGTTGTTATGCAGATTTAAGTCCTTGCCTTCTCCATTGATAAGAGTTTCTTGTGATTTAAAGTCATCCTCTTCCTGGTACTGAGAGGGAGATACTCTTACAGATGGAAATTCCTCTTATAAACGTAAATGTCCCTTACAAAAGGGTAACATCTAGTAGGTTTTCAGAGCTTCTCCTGTGTCTGCTGTTTCTCAAAAGTAGCCAGCTCAAAATAATCCTTATGCGAAAGAGGCGTATTTTGGGGTGGCATATTTTGCTACTCTTCATGGCGTTCTGATAACAAGGTGGCCCAGTGAGAAACTCAACCAAGGTGGCTTAGCTAGGAGCAGCCCTTGAGAAATATGTTGATAGAAAACACATTCAAGGATCTCACTTTATCAATAAATTGCACCTTTGACTAGATACTCTTTCACCTCTCAGTGAAGGTCCCACAGTTCACAAATCCAGAGGTGGTTTTCCCCACTGAAGTTCCCATAGAACATAGCCTAGCTATTCAGGGACTTTCCCCCAGAAGTTTGTTGGGAAGTGAGTTTAGGAGCCAGATCTCTGGTTGTCTCTGCATAACTCCAGATAACCCCTCTCTGAGGTTACCTCTCCTCAGGGCCTTGCAATTTGTTTGTGCCCAGAAGTCAGTCTTTGATGTTTAGCACCTTTGCTCCAGGCTATTCTCAGAGTGAACCCAAGTGTTCAAGATGAGAAGATATAGGAACAGGTTCACATAGTGAGGCTGTCCCCTCTCCTCCACCAACTGCCAATCAGTTGGAGTGCTGTACACCCCCACTGCTACTCTTTTTCCACTGCTGCAGACTTCTTGGTTCTAAGAAAACGGGAAGGACACAGACTCTCTGCTCTTCAGATTCTCATACTGATCTCCACTACCATCAGTGACGTGAGTGTTGGATCTGAATAGGTTGAGTTAGAAGGGCTGGTGCTAGGGTGTTTGGGGGAAAGACCCAGGAACACTTGAATGGGCTTGATTGAAACTCTGGATGGTAGAGTTACGAATGGAACATGATCCAACTTGTAGGAAGCAAAAGTCTGAATAGAACTCAGCATTAATCTCACTGATGCAGTCCCTCTTCCGGTGCCACCCCCAACCCCCTCACCAGACTTCCTCCCCAATCTTCCCAAGCATAATACACTGAAGCAGGTTCAATCCTGGTCTTCTCATCCTGTTTAGGCCTTTTAGACCAGGGATAGGGCACCACAAACGAGAAAGTGCCTACCCCTTGTGCTGTGCCTGATGTAGCACTTGACACCCTCAGAGGTGCTCTCATAGATGTATCTCACTAGACGCTTACAGGTCTGTGGTTTAAAGGGAAGCCTTTTTCAAACAACTCTACGCCCTAACTTTTGACCAGAGTAGCTCCTGTGAGGGCAGTTTCAATCTTGGTACTTGAGCAATATTTCAAAACTGGAGTTCCTTTATGACAGCGTTCTTAATGACAAATCAAGATCATTTATAATGATGGTAGTTAGGGAAATGGCCTGTGAGAAGAGATGTGGTTAGAGAAGTGAGAAGTGTTTCACACAAGCTTTGGGGAAGGGTTAGAAGGAAGTCAAGATCAGAGAAACACCATCTTGCAGAGTCAGAGTAATTGCAGCCTGGGATTTTAGGGAACCAAAGATTTCTTGTTTGGAAAAAACCTCCCAAGTCTTTACTCATCTTCTACATTCCCTTGAAAGGTGACAACCCTTTCCATTCATAGGCGTGAAGCTTAAAATATCATTCTCTTTTATTTTTTTTATTTTTTGTGAGGAAGATCAGCTCTGAGCTAACATCCATGCTAATCCTCCTCTTTTTTGCTGAGGAAGACTGGCACTGAGCTAACATCTATTGCCAATCCTCCTCCTTTTTTTACCCCAAAGCCCCAGTAGATAGTTGTATGTCATAGTTGCACATCCTTCTAGTTGTTGTATGTGGGACGCGGCCTCAGCATGGCCGGAGAAACGGTGCGTCGGTGCGCGCCTGGGATCCGAACCCGGGTTGCCAGTAGCGGAGCGCGTGCACTTAACCGCTAAGCCACGGGGCTTGCCCCCCATTCCCTTTTGAATACATGCTCTTCTGGGAACTGACCTGGCCTATAAAACAGAGCTAGCTATAGGGCGACTGGTTCCTCAGTTTCAGTGGAAGAGAGGGCGGACAGGAGGTGTTTGGAATTCTCAAAATAAACTTCACCCATTTCTTACAATTTGGTGCTTGTATCACTCAGGCTTTAGTATATTTTCAGTTCTTATAAACTTTATTATCTAATGAGACTTATCTTCTAGTCTGGGAACCAAATGGTAAAATTGGGCCCAAGTGCCTACATTGGCAGGGAAAGGAATTTGAAGGTGGAGCTCAGCTCTTAGGGCAATGTCGAGATAGATAATGCTTTCTTCTCTCTTCCCTGTGGACTCATAGGTGGCTCTCATAGGTGACTGAGATGGCATCTTCTCTAAAGGTCCTAGGCCCTCTCCTGGCCCTGCTGTTCCCACTATGTGGGCTCCTTGTACACAGCCAGAGCCTTTCCTGGAAGGAATTCATGAAACAGCATCACCTGAGCACGAGCTTGGAATTCAGTGAGTACAGATGCAATGATCTCATGAGGGAAAGAGAAGCTCTCAGAGGCAAGAACTATCACATCTTCATCTATACCTTTTGGCACAAAATAGAGCATGTATGCATCAGGAACTGGAGAGATCGCTACAGAAATGTATATGTATGGGCCCAGTATCCCTTCAAAATACTCAAGTGCTACCAGAGGAATAACAAAAACAGCTACAAAGAGCACAGGAGCTACAGCTACATTGAATTCCATTGTGGCATGAATGGGTTTGTTGATAGCATAGAGGACATCCGGTTGTTAGAGATTATCAGCAACTAGAATGTCTACCCACACCCCCAGGTTTCTAGTAGAGTGTTCAATGCTTCCCTAGTGGTGGCCCCTGCCTGTATCAATAGCCCTTGCTACTCCTCACTTTGCATTTATGGCCATTGTTTTCCAACTACTTAGAGTTGTGTACCACATGGTTTCTTGATATCATAACTTTGCCTATGTTGTTTCTCTGCCTGGAATATCCTTCTGTCCTCATTCACCTCATTTACTTTTACATTTTTTTTTAAGATTCACCTCATCTGGCATCTCTTTTTGACTAACCGAGGAATTTTCCTGCTATTGACTCTCCTTGTACCCACCCAAGCTGAATGATCATCCTTTCCCTAAATAAACTAAATCATTCCAATGTATGTGACATTTATACTTGTTATGTGTGCAGAGTATGTGTTGTGTGATTGGTAGAAATGTTATAGGTGTGTGTGACACAGATTATGCTTGGATGTGATTTGTGCTGTGTGTAGGTTTAAGCTGTGCACTGTATATGTGTGTCTAATGTGTATAATATGCTTACCTGTATGATGACAGTGTAAATGTTTATGTGCTAAGCTGGGGAAGAGTTGTGACCTAGGCTTGATTGTGGTGAAATGCTGATTTCCAGCCAGGTTGAGGGGCGTGGGCAGAGCTGACTGGGTATAAAACATGTAGCATTTTCCTGGCTCATAGTAGATGCTCAGTCAGTTTCGGTTTTCTTCCTTTCCCATCCTTTGGCTGGTACATTAATTTTAACTTTGATAAAACAAACATGACCAGTGCCCATCAATCATCTCTTCTCTCTAGCTCTAGAAGATGGGGTTTTTTAATATAAATATACTGGGCCAGTCCCCTGGTATAGTGGTTAAGTTCAGTGCACTCCACTTCAGTGACCTGGGTTTGCGGTTTCGGATCCTGGGCGTGGACCTACATGACTAGTCAGCCATGCTATTGTGGTGACCCACGTACAAAATAGAGAAAAATTGGCACAGATGTTAGGTCAAGGCTAATCTTCCTCAACCAAAAAAAAAAAAAATAATGCAGTAGCTTTCATCTCTATGGAAGCTATAAATTCCCAGGATTAAAAAGGACCTTCTCCACCAGCCACAGACTGACAGAGGTCCCTACTGGACTCATTCCTTAAGAATGTCTCAAAGGAGGCTAATGCATTTTAGACAGGTTAAGGCATTATGTTTCCTGCAGAATAACACATTAATAGAAGATATTAGCACAAATGGTTTATCTGATAGTAACCATTTTCACTTGGCAGAGAAATAGGGTGGCGTTAGAGAACTTTAAAATGCAACTCTTCTCAAGAATGGGGCTTAAGATAAATTTTGTAGGAGGGAAGAGGAAGTGAATTGGAGAAGGAAATGTTGAGGACACAAGTAAGTAGAGTCCATGAGAATTCTGTTTGCTAAGTGGGGGAGAGAGATACAGAGTAAGAGAAATGTTCACTTCACGTAATTTACCTAGGGCAGGTATGAGGAGGAAGAAATACTAAACATTAAAATACGTTGTGTTCTTCAGCCTCCTGCATTGTTAAATGACTCCAGCCTTGAAACAATTAGAGAAAAGACCAAGGTTTCATCATTTTCAATTAGGTGACTGCACACCTCCCTAGAACTCTGGCCTCAATGAGAAGCCAATGAATCTAGGTTGCTCATTATGTTCCAAGGACAGCTCCTTAGCTTTGCAATTTTTCAGTGCACCTAGGAACAAGCAGACACCTGGGAGACGATGACCTATACCAACCAAACTCACAAGAGATTAGTGTCAAACCACTAGTTCTTCATCAATGATCAATTTACATATAGGGAATACCGATTTTTTTCCTCACCTGATAAATGCTGCTTCAAAACATAGTGTAGGACAGGAAAAAAATCTTTTTCTTCTACCCTTCCAGGTTCTACAGCACGAGTGGGAAAAGACAGCAGATTTGAAGTTTTCTAACTGAATTTACTCTTCACTTATATCAATTTTGGTACGATTATAATATAATTTAACAATTATAATAGAATGAAATGAGTGCTGTAGAGTCTGAACAAATGAATGCTGGAACAGGGGAAGAAGGACGAGGGAAAGCTCAGAGGAGAGGACAGTTGAGCACAGCCTTGCAAGATGGGTAAGAAACCAACCTGACTAGGTTAGAAGGTTATTCCAGGCAAAGGAAATAACACATGTAAAAGTACGAAGTGTTAAAGTATAATTTTTTCTAAAGGTTAAAAACATGGCTATCATAAAATTTTTAAAAAAGTAAACCCATCACATTGATTAAACTCATAAATAAACCCATTTTATTCACTCATTCATTAATGAGGAAATCAGTAACTTGTTAAAATTTTGGTTTATAGAAATTTATATCCTCTGCCAGACAAAATTCATTTCATTGCTATGAACGGGAAACATCTGGGTTGTTATCAGTTTTGTACAATTTCATTTCTACCCTGCAAATCAATCAAAGATATACTCCCCAATAGTGTCTGCTCATCCCCAGTGGGTCTGCTAGACAACTCCAGTACTCCAATGAAAGGATATCTTGTAATCTCTTTTGTCTATTTCCAAGTCTTGGACAATTTTTCCCTTCAGATGATATGGAAAACTTATGACTTGTGCAGGAAAATATATAGAGCTCCTATGACTCATGTGGAAAGGAAGAAAGGCATTGTAAGAAATAGTATGACCTAGCAATTGGACAAAAAAATCGTATCATGTGCCCAACTTGGCCAATAGGCTAAGAGTTGGGGGCCATTTTGAGCATCAGGCCTTCAGCTCTGCAGAAACAATAGAACTAAACCTCACAAAGGAACTTAGAACTCTTCACTTAGCATCAGCCTCTGACTCACTGTTCTGGCCACTCACTGGTCAGATGCCTGACACAGAATTACCTCAGCAACCATGGAAGAGGCAGTGTTTTAAGAGGTCTGAATATGGCTGATGATTGTTATAATAAGTAACTGTTTGGTTAAAGATACTAATCTTCTGTTACTCCAGTGACAAGGGTTTGGGACCATTACTTTTGCAGTCAGCAAGCATATAAAGGTCTAGGGAAATGAACAGATCAAATAACAGGTGGGAGTGTGAAGACTCAGGTGTGTTTAAATAGAGATCCCATAAATGGCACACCTCATATGCCTTGAACCTGCTTTAGAAGTGTAGGGCTGGCACAGGGCCAAACCAACCACCGGGGTCCATTTTCTATGCAGGGAGCTTCTGACTGGGCTCAGGACATGCTACTCCAGAGTATGACACTTTGGCATATTGACTATTTCAAGCTGAAGGAATCTGAGAAATGGCAGGTGCAGGAAGAACTTTCTCACCTTCCCCTGAAGCAGGTCATAAGATCTTCACGTGAGAGGTGCCCTCCCTATACCCAGAGGAAAGGTGCATCCTTATCTCTGAAGATGGAGAGATGCTGAGAGGAATCTGAACAAACAGGTCTTGCTGAGTTTCCCCCAGTTTATTACACTTAGCTCATACCCTTTGTTCTACCATATCTTTCCATGACTTCCCACTCTGCATCAAACGTAGCATAAAAGTGCTCAGATCTAAGTGCTTCTTCAGGTCTTCATTTCCTTAGGAAGGCTCCTGTGTCACGTAAAACTCATATTAAATAAATTTGTATGCTTTTCTCTGTCTTTTGTTACAAGGGGCCCCTGCCGAGAACTTAGAACTTATTCGTCTTCCCCTTCTGTTCCAAGATTTGGGATAATTTAAAAGAGATAGGTGGCTGGCCCCATGGCTTAGTGGTTAAGTGCGGGCGCTCCACTACTGGCGGCCCAGGGTTTGGATCCCGGGAGCGCACCGATGCACTGCTTGTCTGGCCATGCTGAGGCGGCGTCGCACATACAGCAACTAGAATGATGTGCAACTATGACATACAACTATCTTCTGGGGCTTTGGGGAGAAAAAGGAGGAGGACTGGCAATAGATGTTAGCTCAGGGCTGGTCTTCCTCAGCAAAAACAGGAGGACTGGCATGGATGTTAGCTCAGGGTTGATCTTCCTCACACACACACACACACACACACACACACACACACACACACACACACAAAACAAAAGAGATAAATAAGAGAAGCAGACTCTCCCATTCATGCCCTCCCCATCTGTCTTACACGGTACTCATGGTAGCAAGACAGGAATTCACCCACCTGAATTAAGACAAAGTGGAAATTTCATCTTAGAAATCAGGGAGAAGTGCAGTCCTGAGATCTTGGGCATTGGGTGAAAATCAGTGTCAGCCAAGAAAAATGGTTCTTAAGTGGGAATCGGTATCAGAATCACTGTGGAGCTTATTAAACACGGACATGCAATGGCCCTACCCCCCAAGATTCTGATTCAGTTGGCCTGAGATCTTGGCATTTTTAAAAGTTCCATAGGCAATTCTGATGTGAGGCCAGGGTTGGGGACCCCTGCCTAAAGACGTGGGTAACTTGATTTTGTTTTCCTCTGCTCATGGGATTAGGGTACTATCAAGTTGTGGAACTGCAAAGAGAGGGGGGACTATCCTAATACACCTGGCTGTAGAATAGGATATACGAGTGCTAGGTGAACAGATAGCCTTTTTTTTTTTTTTTGAATTAATAGACTTATTTGCTCAGAGCAGTTTTAGGTTTACAGGAAAATTGAGCAGAAAGTACAGAGAGTCCCCATGTGCCTCTTCTCCCTTCCCCCCTCCTAACCACATGGCACACAGTTTTCCTATTATTAACATCTTGCATTACTGTGGTACTTTTATTATACCCGATGAACCAATACATCAATACATTATTAACTAAAGTCCACAATATACATTAGGATTCATTCTTTATGTTTTACAGTTCTATGGGTTTTGACAAATGCATAATGTCATTGTAGTGGAGGAAAAAGTTTTCCTCGACTATTTTCCTCGACCTTCTTAGGGACCCTGGCTGGGTCTGAAAAATGAACTGACAAAGACAAATTAACAGGAGAAAGCATATAACTTGTATTAAATTTTTACAAGTGCATGGGACCCTTCACAAGAGAATGAAGAACCAAATAAGTGACCAGAGATGGAAGCTTTTATATCTTTTAGACAAAGAAACAATAAATTTGTGAAGAATTGATAAGACAAAGGGTTTCGGTCTGTGGGTAGTAGATGGTGAATAAGTAACAAGGTTTGTTTATACAGCTTTCATGGCCCTAAATTCCCTGTCTCTGGTGATAAGGATGTCTCCTTTCCTCCTCGTACAGGGAGGGTACCTTTCACATGGGAGATTTATCTCCTGCTTTCAGGAAAGAAGGGTGAGGAGAGATGTGAGAGTGACCTCTCTGCTTCTGCTATTTTCTTAACCTCCTTCAGCATAAGAGGGTCAATAAGCCAAGGTGCCATGTTTTGGGGTGG